CTATGGCGGACTTGTTGATTCTCCGAAGCGGTCGTTCTCGGCAGTTTCGGAGGGGTCGTGCCAGGGGTTCCGCTGGTCAAGGTGGGCCATTGGTGCCAGTTTCTGAGCCGTTGTTCCCTTCGGGGCCAGCATCGTCTGGTCAGCGCGGTGATCGCCCTGTTTGACGTTTGGATTCTCATAAGGGGCGTCGGCCCTTTCGCGGTTTGCCCCGTTGATGGGGTGATAGGGGGGGGGGAAGCTCGCTCTGTTTGCCCACGCTTGGTCCCACGATTTGTGGGCCTTTTCGGTCGTGTCATCCGGCCGACGGTGGCGTTGGGCGACTCGTCCTCCTTGGTGGGGTTCGGGGCTAATAGGGCAGGTTTCTTCCCCTGCGCTTCGTCAAGTCGTCTTGGAGTGGGTGCGCTTGGGCATGGTTGAAACGACTACGTCTCTCAGGTGGATTTCCCATTTGTTTCCAGTGCCAAAACAGGACTGTGCAGATCTGAGGTTCATTCTGGACTTGTCCCGTCTGAACCCCTGGATTCTTTGCCCCTCCTTTCGGATGACTACTGTCTCGGGTCCAGCTTCTGTTGGGGCTGGTGCCTGGATGGTGTCCCTGGACCTCAAGGACGCCTATTGGCACGTTCCTATTCATCCGGGGTTCAGGGGCTGGTTAGGTTTCATGGTGGGGCATCACGCTTACCGTTTTCGATGCCTACCTTTTGGCTTGAATCTGGCACGTCGCGTTTTCACGCATCTGACCCGGGTTGTGGTGACCCGTCTGTGTCTTCTAGGGATTCGGGTTTTGGCCTACCTCGACGACTGGCTTGTGTGGGCTCCCAGTTGGTCAGCTTGTCTGCTTGCCAGGGATATGGTTCTTTCGCAGCTTGTCAGGTTCGGGTTCCTGGTGAACTGGAGGAAGTCCCATCTGGTTCCGTCCCAGGTTCGGACCTGGCTGGGTCTTGTTTGGGATTCTCAGACAGCTTCCTTGTCTCTTCCTCCAGAGGCGTTGCTGCGGCTGCGGGACTGCCGTTGGCTGTTTCTGCGGGGGTCCCGGCTCACTTGGCGTTTGCTCGAGTGGTTGTGCGGGAGTCTGAACTTCGCCGTGCTAGTCTACCTGCCTGGTCGGGTTTGGCTTCGGCGTCTGTTTTGGTTCCTTCGGGGACGTCCCTTCCACCTTTCTCGCAATCGTTGGGTTTATTCTCCGGGGGCCTTGTGTCGGTTGCTGCGTCACCGGCTTCCTCTTTGGGGTTTTCGGGGTTCAGTGCCTTGGCGCCTTCCCGAGCTCTCGCTCGATGTGTTCACGGACGCGTCGTCTCTCGGCTGGGGCTATGTGACCAGTGCTCATCAGGTAGGCCAGGGACGGTGGGGTTCGTCCTTCCGTCGGGCTTACAGCACAGTTCGGGAGTTCGCGGCAGTCTGGTTCGCGCTTCGGAGGGTTCCGGTCGCTCAGGGATCGACCATTTGCCTCCATTCATTCAATGAACCTCCAGTGGTTCATTGCCTGAACCGTGGGGGTTCTCTTCGGTCCTTGGCTCTTTGGGGTTGGTCCCTTCGAGTGGTTCGTCTGCTGGATTCTCGGGGTTTGGCTCTTCATGAGGTTCATGTCCGGGGAGTGTCTGGTTGAACCGGGGAGAACGTTCTGGCGGACGGTCTGTCACGCTTCCATCCCCCTGTCCACAGAGTGGACGGTTGACGACGACTCGTTTCGTTGGATCTGCCAGACGTAAGGTCTCCCAGATGTGGACCTCTTCACGTCGGCGTGGTCTTGGCGTCTCCCAATCTATGTGATGCTCTTTCCTGACTGCGAGGCGTTCGCGGTGGATGCCTTTCGGCAGGACTGGTCGAGGTGGGGGTTACCTGTACCTCTTCCCTCCGGTCCAGCTGTTGGTTCTGGTTCGGTTGGAGACATTCCCAGGGAGAGTAGTCCTTGTGGCCCCTTGGTGGCCGGCCCAGCCTTGATTTCCGGTGCTATTGGCTCGGTGCCCAAACCCGGGACGTTTCCCGCTGCTCCGCCTCTTTCAGCAGGTCAGCCCAGTCCGGTACAGGGCTGGTTCGACCTTCTCTGCTCTTCGCGTCTGGTCTTTTTGACGCGGGTGTATCACCAATTCTATAGTGATCAGGTGGCTTTGTTGATGGTGTCCCACCTGAGAGCTTCGTCTCGGCGATAGTATGAAGTTTCCTGGCGTTCTTTTCGCCATTTTCTGGCTCTTCGTAGGTTGTCTTTTCTTTCGGATCTGGTTGTCTTGTCCTTTCTTTCTTGGCTTTTTCAGGACCGTCATTTGATGCCTAATACTGTCGCCTCGTATCGTGCGGCGCTGGCGGAGCCGCTCAAGCTAGCATTCGGGGTGGACATCACATCCGCTCTGTTCCGTAAGCTTTCCCGTACTTTGTTTCACCTCCGGCCTGCTCATGCGCCTCCTGAGCCGTCCTGTTCCTTGGACAGGGTGCTCTCCTATCTTTCCTCTCCTCTGTTTGTGGTGGCCCCTTCGGTTCCGAATTATTTTTCCAAGGCTTTGCTTTTGTTGGCATTGGCCTCTGGGTGCCGGGTTGGGGAGCTTCATGCTCTCCTATGGCGCAGGGGTTTCTGTTCTTTTGGTCCTGGGGTAGGTTTGTCCATTTGCAGCCTTCGCCATCTTTTCTGGTGAAGAACAAGACGGCTGCTTTCCGGAGGGGTCCGCGGGTCATTGATGCTTAGTTAGTTCGGCCAGGGGTGCATCATGTGTTGTGTCCGGTTGCAACACTTCGCTGTTATGTGCGCTTCAGCTGGGGTGGCTGGGGATGCGCTTTGGGTTGATCTGGTTTCCCTCGTTCCCTGTTCCAGGGCTTGGCTCTCCCAGGTTGTCCGCAGGGTTATTAAGTCTAGCCAGCCTGCGGTCTATCCTCGCGCCCATGATGTTCGGAAGTTTGAGGCTTTGGCTGCCGTGATTGGTAACATGTCTTGGGCTCGTATTCAGGAGCGTGGATTTTGGAAGTTGAACAGGGTCCTGGCCGCCCGTTATTTGGTGAACGTACCTGCTCCTCGGCGTTCTTGTGTTGCTTTGGGTCGAAGGTTGCAGCCAGTTGTCTCGACTTCGCGTTCAGGAGTTTGTTGCCGCCTCCTCCCCGGGTAAGTCCCTATTTCCTTCTCTTTGGGTATGTAGCTCCAGGGAGCCGTAGGGGCTCCCCACAGAAAACCAGCGTTGAATGTAATGAAATGCCATTTTCTGGGTGAGCCCCGGAGGCTCCCTGGCTACCCTCCCTCCCTCCCAGTTGGCGGGGTTTTTTCGCGTTGGTTGAAGCCTAGTTTCCAAACTGAAGGCAGCCGGCGCAGTGAGGTACGCCCTCCCCCCCCCGTTCCCTCCCGGGGAGGGGAGGACTGCGAGCACGACCGGCGTGGCAGTAAATTGATTGTTTCCTTGGGAGTGTAGGGAGTTTCTACCTCTGTTCCTTTTTTGTTGTAGTTTTTTACCATGTGGGGTTTGTTTTGTTATGCCTACCTTTCTGGATGCCTAACCCCGGTCGATGGTAGATATGGAAAACCCCCAACCATAATGGGTTGCAACACTTTCCAGGGCCATTGCTCCCTGAAACCTCTCTGAAGAGGCCAGGTTCTGGCTCTGGTCCCCGGTAGGTCTGAACTCCATAGCTCATGTCCCGGTCTAACATAACATACATTAGCCCGATAAGCTCCAGGGAGCCTCCGGGGCTCACCCAGAAAATGGCGTTTCATTACATTCAACGCTGGTTTTTTATTTATTTTTGAGATATTCCTTGAATGTTTTAACTTTGATTAGTCTGTCTTTATTGTCTTTGGGAATGGCATTATTGTTGTAGGTATGAAAATACCTTGCAATCAATTCATATTGTTTTGTTGTCATAAAAGTATTGAAACAAGGTGTACATGCCACAGTTTACCTGTTTGCCAGTACATTGTCATCACTGGCAACGTCATATTGTGCATCAACATTCAGTCCCAAATATCTGGTAAGCTCTTTTTACACTCAGTTCATCCCACTTATTGCTTGGGGTGCTAGAATCATTGTAGTTGCTTTATGATGCATACAAGTTTGTTTCATTTACTAAATATTGCAACAAATCTCGTGTAATAAATAACTGTAAAAATCCAAGAAGAGTGATTGGTAATGATAGTCAAGCCTGGTGTTGCAGTAAAGCTTTCTTCAAATGGAGGAGTATTGTCAGTTGACCAGGATTGACCAGAACATTGCCGTTTCCTAGGTGCGGTACAGCCATGTGAGCCTCTGGCGATATGAGCATCAAAATCATTACTCTCCTCACTTTTAATCTCATCCTCGCCTGCTGTTTCAGTTTCAACAAACTCATTGCCGCATGGCCCATGACAGATAACGGGAAGGCATTGGCACAAAGTTTAAAACATGTCCCAAAGTGATAGGATAAAAATTTAATTAGAACAAATTTATTAAATTTGGACGTCGGCTACGTCCCTCCCGAACATCCGCAGTTAATTGCGGACGTCATGTTGGTCCCTCTCGAACGAAAGTGTTAAGAGTTACCATTCATACCCTAATGTTTCCCACACACTATAGGCTAATTTCATTAAGGAAATCTTTAATTTTAACCTATAATGATGAGCAACTTTCCCATCAGTCTGTGAACTGTGCCCCAACCTCCTAAGCAAATCTGCACATCCCCCACTTCAGCGAACAAGAGTTCGTTCGCAGAATCGGGCAAGTAAATCCGTCCTGGAAAGTGTGCATTCCAACCAGAGATTCCTCGAATCGAGGTTCGTTGAATTGAGGCTCTACTGTATACGGGGGTTTCCTTACAGATTAACGGCTTGCCTTCCCCAATCACACTGTATACCACACCAAGTCATGCTGTATACCACCAACAGTTGCACCATATACCGCACTCACAGATGTGCTGTATACCGCAACCATTGTTGTGGTATTCAATATCAGATTTATTATCATTAATTTATTATATTAAAATTTACATTTGTATTTGCACTTCATAAATTTTGCATGTAGTAAACTAGTATTACCATTGTGCTTGTGTAGGGAGTGGAGGCGTGTCGAAGGTTGGTGAGTCGTTGTAGCCAGGAGAAAGTGGCTTCGTGGGTGCAGTCTCACCTCACTCCTGCACTCTTCTCCAAGGACCTCGCAGCAGATAGTGATCGTCTTCTTCGTCAGGCTCAGAAAGTGGCAGATATACAAGCTGTAAGTTCATAAGTGGGTTGTTGTTATTCATGTCTTCATAAGTGGGTTGTTGTTGTTCATGCCATGAAGTTTTAATCAGTGGTAATGTCTGAGCAGTTTTAACACAGGTGGGTATAGATGGGTTCAGACTCCTGTTAGCAGATATAGAGCTTTCTCTTCATACAGTTCATTTTAAACCTTACCCTACTTTACCCCGGTACATGACTGGCCCATAAGTTTACAACTAGGTTCCTATTTACTCCTAGTTGATCAGGGGGGGAGTCAGTTTGTTGGTGTATGGTCAACCCTCGTTGCTCAGGGCGCAGATCTTGCCAAAATCACTGGGTTTGGTGGGGAGGGGGGGGGGTGATACTGGGCATGATGAGCATGCTACCACTTAAAGAACAAGAGGTCATAGATTTAAACTAACTAAACAAAGCTGCTTTAGAAATATAAGAAAATTTATTTTCTCAGTGGTAGACAGTTGGAACAAGTTAGGCGAGAAGATGGTGGAGGCCAAAACCGCCAGTAATTTCAAACCGTTACACAACAAAGAGTACCGGGAAGACGGGACACCACGAGCCTAGCTCTAATCCTGTAACTACACTTAAATAATAACACTTGGGTAATTATCACTGGTAAACCAGAGTTCCAGAGTAGCTATAGAACCAGTCTTGCTACGTTTACACACCCTCTGTATTTCTGTATGATGAAGGAAGGAACAAAAGTGAGAGAGAAACCAAATGCAGGGGTAAAGGTACTGTACTAGCATCAGCTTAACATAGCCGACCTTGCGGCGTGCTATGAAGACAGGATCACAAAGTTGAAGTATGGCTGTGTGATAATCATTAACACTATCGCGCACCCCACGAGCGCGCCGCAGACTTTGACCTCATGGCCCCAATGGTGCGGGCGAGCGTGCGGCGACGCCTAAATGTGTATACTCGTTTCAGGATTCTCACCTTAATTCTGGTGCTACATCGTTCGTTTTGGTATCATTGTGTTCGCAATTAAATTCCCTGCAGATGTGTATGAATATAATGTACAAAAGCCTGGAGTGCCTCCCCACAGAAAAGCCTAAAGTTACCCGTGAACGAGCACCAATTTGTACACTGCAACCTAATGTGTATACTCGTTCAGTTTGATTACATCAATTTTCGTGTTACGTCTTTCATTTTGGTATCAAATTGTTCGCAATAAAAAGGCGCGTATTTTAAAACTAGTCCCATAATAATAGAGCAATAACTGGAATTTTTACAAATATTTTAATTCTGGAAGCTCATCATCACAAAATTATTTATATCTTTCCAGTGTTCTGACATAAATTTTTGTGTTACATCTTTCATTTTGGTATCAAATTGTTCGCGACGTAAAGGCGCGCATTTTAAAACTACTGTAGTCCCAACATAATAGGACAATAAATAGAATTTTACCAAATATTTTAATATTTTGACCAAAAACCTATTTATAATCATATAAATGTTTGGACATCAAGTTTCATGTTACATCTTTCATTTTGGTATCAAATTGTGCACATTCTAAAGGCGCTTATTTTGATACTATCCTGAGGTCGATTGGATAAAAAATGAATTTTATACAAATATTTTTGTAGTGGACGCAAGTCCGGTCCAAAGTTAGGACTCAGGAGAAAAATAATGGACGCGAGTCCGGTCCAGAGTGACCGATAGTGTTAATAACACTCTTACTAAAGCTTTATGCCTCTTGTATGTCATGTACAACTTTGTCGTCATCTGTTTGATATGGTCACTTGACATGCTTTGCCTGCTATTGCACTATCATAATATCTTGCTTTCTGAATTTGTTTTCTGGGCTCTTCCTCTCTCATTCACCTTCAACCTTGCTATCATATATTTCTCTCATTTTTATTGTATATGGCTATATACACTTGGCTTGAGTCATACAGTGAAATCTCATAACTCTTATTTAACCCTTTTGCCCGGTAACGACGCAGCATTGCATCATTTTTTTAGTTGAAGCATTCCTGGTAACGATGCAGCATTGCGTCGGTTTCGGCGGCAAATTGGCGGCGGCTTCGGGAGGGGCACACAGCTGTTTTGGATATTATATGCATATACTCTTGTAGGGAATTTCATTGCGAATACATTGATACCAAAATGAAAGACCTAGGACCAGAATTGAGGTAACAAAGTTGAAAACAGTATACCCATTTTATTAGCACTCGCTGGGATTATGCTCCGTCACTTTCTGTTTGCTGTGGGTGGTACGCCTGGCTTTTGGACTTTATATTTGCATATACTCCTGTAGGGAATTCTATTGCGAACACAATGTTACCAAAATGAAAGACCTAGGACGGGAATTGAGATGTCCAAAGTGAAGAGAGTGTACACATTTTATTGCTCTTATGAGCTCCCAGGTAACACGCACTCACTTTCTCTGTTTGTTGTGGATGGTACGCCGGGCTTTTGGACTTTATATGTCTTTAGTCGTGTAGAGAATTCTATTGTGAACACAATGATACCAAATTGAAAAACCTAGGATGAGAAATGAGATGACAAAGTAGAAACGAGTATACACTTTTCAGTATTACCTCGCTCTCTAATGTAATGAGAGGCGCCTTGGGATGGCGAAGTGCTCTCTTTCCGGCCCACATTCATCTGGTCGGCGGGTGGAGCGTGCTGCGGTTTTTGACTTCATATGCATATGCTCTTGTTGGGAATTCTATTGCGAACACAATGATACCAAATTGAAAAACCCTGGACTAGAATTGAGGTGACAAAATTGAAGAGAGTATACACTTTTCAGAATTACCGCGCGCTCCGGCGTTTCACGGGAGCGCGCGGTAACGCGGAGCGAAACGCAGTGAGCGCCACGAAAGGCAAACACCGCCTAGGAAACTGAGGCCAGAGAAGTGCCTATCCTGGTTGACATTAGCTTACGAACTGATGCTAGGCAGCCGGCGTGGTGAGATCCGGGGCTCCCCTCCTTCCCCTCTCGGGGCGGGGAGGGCTGCACGGACAATCGACGCGGCAGTAAAGTATGATGTTTGCTTGTTTGCTTGTTTCCTGGGATTGTAGGGAGTTTCTACCTCTCTGTTCTGTTTTCTGTTTTAGTTTTTACCATGTGGGGTTTTTGTTATGCCTATCTTTCTGGGTGCCTAACCCCGGTCGATGGCAGATAAGGAAAACCCCAACCACAAGGGGGTTTTCCAGGGCCATTGTTCCCTGAAACCTCTCTGAAGGAGCCAGGTTCTGGCGCTGGTCCCTGGTATGTCTGAACTCCTTAGCTAATGTCCCGGTCTAATATAACATACATTAGCCCTATAAGCTCCAGGGAGCCTCCTGGGCTCACCCAGAAAACGGCGTTTTATTACATTCAACGCTGGTTTTTTGCGGCTCCACCTTTTTCAGCAGGTCGGGCCAGTAAGGTACCATGCTGATGCTCTTCTGCTGTTCGCATCTGGTTTTAATAATGCGGGTGTATCGCCACTTGTATGGTGATAACGTGGTTTCTCTGATGATGTCCAAACTGTGGTCGTTGTCTCCGTGACAGTGTGAAGTCTCCTAGCGGTCTTTCTGCCATTTCCTTTCCTTTTGGGGGTGTTGTTGGTGTCTGTGAAGGTGGTTTTGCCCTTTCTTTCTTGGCTCTTTCTGTGGAGAGTCCTTTTGGCTTCCTGGAGCTATACTGGGCTGATGTGTGTGTATTAGATTGTGGCAACAGTCAAGCAATGGAGTTCTAGGCCTACCGGGGACCATCACCGGAATCTGGCACCTTTAGAGAGAGGCATGAGAAACATTGGCCTATAGACAACCCCCATGTAATTGTAAACAGTCTGTCTGCCATCTACAAAGTCAGGCACCCAGAAAGGTAGGAATTCCTAAACAAACTACAGCTGGTTAAAATTTGCTAAGTGAAAGCTGAACTAGCAAGCAGAACTCCCTAATCGACAACAAGCAAACAAGCACGACCTCACCACAACCGCCGTGCTGTTATCTGCGCAGCTTCCGTCCCCCTCCCTGGGAAGGGGGAGCCCCAGCCCCCGTCACGTCAGCTACCCAACCTTAGTTCAGAGGCTGTTGTGTTTGATGGTGGTCGATCGACTCTGGCTGCATCCTTTTGTGCAGTGCTGTTCATAGCGGTGTTCTACTGTGTGATGGTGAGCGAGCCAGGAGTAACTCAAGAGTACTGTATGAAAATGAAACATACTGTATGAAAACATACAAACAAACATACTGTATGAAAATCAGTATGAAAATTACCTCGGCTGAAGACATTGAAAAACTTCAAGCTGATATTAATAAAATTTTTGACTGGGCATCAGAAAATAACATGATGTTTAACAGTGATAAATTCCAGGTACTCGGGTACGGTAAAAATGGAGACCTTAAACATAATACAGGATACAAAACACAATCAAATGTGCCCATAGTAGGAAAATAGCATGTAAAGGATTTGGGAATAATGATGTCTGACGACCTAATGTTTAGGGAGCATAACCAAGCAAATATTGCGTCAGCCAGAAAAATGATCGGATGGATTACGAGAACTTTCAAATCCAGGGATCCCATCACAATGATTGTACTCTTCAAGTCACTTGTGTTGTCCCTTCTTGAGTACTGCTCAGTACTCACTTCTCCCTTCAGAGCAGGAGAGATTGCTGAAATAGAGGGAATACAGAGAACATATACGGCACGCATAGACGCGATAAAGCACCTAAATTATTGGGTTCGTCTCAAAGCCCTCCAGATGTACTCACTAGAAAGAAGACGAGAGAGATATCAAATAATATACACATGGAAGATACTGGAGGGCCAAGTACTAAATCTACACAGTAAAATAACAACGTACTGGAGTGAACGATATGGAAGAAAATGCAGAATAGAACCAGTGAAGAGCAAGGGTGCCATAGGCACAATCAGAGAACACTGTATAAACATCAGAGGTCCGTGGTTGTTCAACATCCTCCCAGCGAGCATAAGAAATATTGCCGGAACAACCGTGGACATCTTCAAGAGGAAACTAGATTGTTTCCTCCAAGGAGT